ACATCTCGCGACATTTGTCTTCTTTCTGTTTTGATGAAATGGATTAAGGGAACTCAATGCTTCAAACTATCATTATCTCTTTATCCGCTGCTTGCATACTTCACAATCGCTTCTCAATCCTGATCAAGAATGAATATACCGATCCAGAAGCAAACCAAATAGAAAAAGCAGGTCTCATAACCTTCGCTTGGGCAAAGGTGGTCACCCTCGGTTGATTTCAACCACTGGAAACTTAAAATTCTGCTGAGTATTGATCTAAAATTCTGTTGTACACAACTTTCCAGAAATGAATGTTGGCACAAATGGTAATTTGAGAAACAAACAGAACAGAATTGAAAACTAACTGTTTATAATTTTCTTTTGCTTGTAATTCACGCTGACGGTGTTCTTCCATCAGACGTTGCTTTTCCACACTTTGACGAGTCAGCGCACGTTCACGAGCCTTTTGCAGGGTCTGTGAATTGAACGGAGTTAGTGGAGATTCAAAACAAATCAATCGGGATGCTTCATTTCCCGTTCATAATACTTGTAAAATAAATCATGGAAAAATGTAATGAATGTAAAATATTGAATTCATGTCACAAGTGTACATACACGCATGCACATACATACATACATACATACATATATACATACAAGTCATAACATTGTTTCCCGGACCTCCGTTGCGACAGTCGTTGTCACTTTGTTATCTTTGGTAGACCAAATGGGTAGCCGAGGGATACTAACAGCAATCGGTGTGCTATATAATACAAGCTTATTGGATGTCAAAACTAAACCGAACAGAGATTAAATTTCATAAAAACCTAAAAACTACGATTTATCCCTCAGAATTTATTACATTATATATATTTTTTTATAATCTTGCCCCATCGCCCCAGGGGAAACTTTCAGTAAAGAAGGTATCCCTCACGCTATCGTGACACACAATAGAAGTGATTTCATTGATCAAAAAGTTACTGATTGGTTCAACTCCGTAGTTTCTTTCCCATGTTCTTACTCCATCCTGGCATCCACAATTCGATGGCACCATCGAAAACTTTATTTGCACACTGCAGAGTGCTGTCACATTTGTGAATCTTAGCGTGTTTGGTAACTTGGGCAGAGGAGGTGGTAATTATTTGATACAATTCCGTAACGCAATTCATTCAGCTAGTAGGCATAGTGCAGTGAAGCTGCGTCAAAGTCAAGCACTTTGAATGCATCTCCTAAATTCGAAATCCATGGAAGTTGTGGAAACATTGAACTACCATGTAGAGGCATTTCGTTAGACCTCATAGGAGAAAGAGTATGTTACATATTGAATTTAGACGATGGTACAATACATCGCAGGCATGTAGATCAAACAAGCTCCGATTGGCAAAGTATTGATTCTCGTTCTGAGTGTACTAATCTTGATATTTCTGAGTCCTTTTCAGATGAATCACATTCCATTACATTGCTAAAAATATCAATGAAGAAACAAGAAGATCCGAACTTTCGCACAACAAAGTTCGTATGAGTACGGAACACTGGCGCTTCATTCAAGCCGCGGTGGATGTAATTATTGCGCATAGACTAAGAACTAGTTTGTTTTAGTGAACACAATACCCTGGTACATTCTCGTTTTCCGCGCGTTACAATGCAACTCCGCTGTTGTATGTCGCGTTCAGACTTCATTCCGACTACTGGTATTGGGCAAGGTTATTACTGCTCGGGGTGCGATAGTTTCTAGTGTTGGTAAGAATCACAACACTGTTGTCTTTACCTGTATTGTGACGGCTCTCTTGACTGTAACATTTTCCACCTATTTTGGCATCTTCGATAGACCAAATGGGTGGCTGGGAGATGCCAACGGAAATCGGTAGATGATATGATGCAAGCTTAATGGGTGTCAAAACTAAACCAAACCCAGGTTGACCTTCATAAAACTCATAAAAAGTGGTCTATCGGATGCCGCGCTATCCTTTACAATTCAATACTTTCTCCCAAATTAGTAGCCTAAATATATATCCCTTTTCGGTTGATGGTTCCTAGGCAAGATGCAAGACAAATGGCGACAGAAGGGGAAGTTCTAAAAATGATGAGAAAAACAACTTGATGAATCTTCCAATTACATGAATAAAAATGATGCAATAAAATCTGAGCATTTTATACAGAACTTCCATTTCTGTTTGTTAAACTTTTTTCATTTTACTTCCTTTTCTTGAATCCATAAGGATACAATTTTCAGGAAGTGGGAGACGGTCAATCGAAGGGCTGTCATACAACACACAATGGGATTCGAACACACGTCCCCCGGGTTGATAATTTGGTGATGTCAACACCGGGTCATCTCCGCCCGTTACACGTGTGTCGAACATTCGATATTACTTCATGAAAGATTGACAACTGGTAGACGCGAATGAATCCATGAAAAGAAGCTTATGCAATCTATGGGTGGGTTGAAATAGACAGTATTGTGTGTACGGTTGCTCTGTTGCTGTCCATTGGTGTATTTCTGTGTGATCGGATGGTTTTGCATGATAAATACCTGTAAGTGGTGAGGAATTCGAGGAAGCGGGTGTTTTTCGTGTGCCCGGATCAGGTCTAAACGACACGGAAGGATACAGAGTCAATCCAGTAAAAATAGTATTT